GGTGGCAGGTGCCCAAAGACCACACTGTTCCTGTACCAGCATGTGCTGATGTCACCGTGTTACCTGATGGTGTCACTTCCCCTGGAGCTAGCACGGAATCTCCTCAGGTTTGTGCCCCTTGTCCCTTTGCCTCCTGTCCTCCTATGTGCTCGCTGCATCCTCCTTCCTCAGGAGGAGACCTACTGTAGACCCTCTTCATCCTTCAGGTAGTTTCGTTTGTTGCACCAAGTCCCTTTCCTGGGATTGGGGTTGGAAATGACACCTTTCTTTGAGGTTTGGGGAAATGACAGAAGGCTGTTGGGATGAGCCTGGCTCATCTGAGCTCAGGATAACTCTTACTAGACATGAAATGGTCACCTCTTGTGTGTCCTCCCAGAGGAACCATGATGCTGACAATGGTCCTGATCTCATGGACAAAAACCAGTGAGTGCCACTGGGGGGCACAGGGGAGCACGGTGCTTGGCGACAGGAGTCAGGGCAGGCCCATGGCTCTTGTTTCCATCAAGCTGCCTGCACCTCTGACCTCTGTGTCTTCATCCCTAGGACTTTGTCATGAACTGAGAGCATGCAACAACTATCTCTGCAGCTCAGTGGTTTTGAGTCCAAGGTACTCCAGAAGACAGGGTCCTCAAGGGGGAAGAGGGAAAGAAAGGTATAATAGAAACCAAGGCAGGGAGTCTCATGAGAAGGGAAGATCCTAGGACAAGCAGACCTGGGTTATATTAGGAAAGTGACATCTTCAAGTCTTCTCCCTGCAAGCTGCACAAAGGTAAGGACTGGGCCATGAGGTTGCTTACATCACTTTGTCAGACTGTGGAAAGTGCAAAATGAGAACTGCTTAGGAGAAGAGGATAGACAGGGAGATAAAAACAATGAGAAGTAGGCAAAAAGGTTACAGGTGACCAAGTTAGGCCAGAAAGAACAATTTGTCAGTTTGGGGGGAAGAAACAAAGTCAGAGAGCTTAGACATTGAGGGGACAGAATGTCTCCATGGGCTGTCATCTCTTCCAGTCTTCATCCTATGTTAATGGAGAGGACCTCAGCTCTTCTACTAATATGAAAGATCTGGAGATAAGTGACCTGTACTGTGACCCAGTGACCCTGCCCAGCGACCCTGAAGGTCAACCCCTGACTTCCTCCCTCAATGGGGCCAGGGGTCCCCTGCCAGCTGAAACAGTCTCCCCCCCAACCTTCCTGCAATGCATTCTCTTTGCATGGGACTCAGAGCTGGTACCAAGAACTAGCAGTAGCCCTGGACTCTAGTTATCTAAAAGACAAACAACTCAGTAGCATGATAAAGGAACTGGTAAGAACTCAGCTACCTTTGTAGCACCTCCTTCTCAGAGGCTAGCAGCTCATAGGAGGCCGTGTATTGCTGCAGGTAGATGGTGTACCGGTTGTGCTGTTGCTCAGACCCTGAGCCTCCTGGCTCTTTACCTCCACCTGAGGAGAGAGGGGATGTGGCACCTTTTTTCTAGACTCTGAGCTTGGAAATATGGAGGGGGCACAGACCTGTTACCTGCCCAAGGCCTCATAACATTTCCCACCATTTTCACTGTAGTTCACAGACTGATGGAAAAGCACAGGGACGGACATGCTCTGTGGCACACCAGTAATGTGCTGCTCAAGAGAAACTGGATCCCCTACATGATGTCAGGGTTCAAATCTCCAGCCCTGCTAGCCTGAAAAATTTTGGGCAAGTGCCCAAGTGCCCCAAATCCAACGGAGCAAGAGGCCTGGAAAATGGGGATTGTGGTATGACTAGTCTTTTTGGAGGGTGCTCATTTCTCTCTCTTGGGCATGAATGTAGTCAATTTAGGGCTGCAGCCTCTCACTTGATCTAACAGCTGCTTGAACTCCTCCAGCTTCGTAATTCCCTCTTCCTGAGCTGCATGGCTGCCTTCTCAGCAGCTAGGATTCAGAGCTTCTCCTCTGAAGATCATTTAGAGCTGGGACTTGAATATCTAGGCCTAACTCTCAAAACCCAATTTTCCCCTGGAGGTAAGGGTCCATTTATGGGGAGGGGGTGTTAAATTTGTACTTTAATTTTTTAAATGATTTTTTTTTTTGCCATACACTCACTGGGGAAACATACATTCACTGGGGAGACAGAGACAGAGAGAGGGAAAGTGAGAAATCACTCCTCAGGGATTGGCCATGTCGCAATTTATTCTGTTCCATTCTTCTCTCAAAATTTTGGGTGCACACACACATGCCAGACATGAGTTTCAAGCTGCCGGGTCTTGGACTTGAACCACAATTGGACATCTGGGAGTCTAGTGCCTTAACCATTACGGCCAATGCTGGCCCCTGTACTTTAACCTTTCGTTTGCTTTCTCAATGATAAATACACAAATTCTAAAAGTCAGAAGGTACAGAATGAAACACTTCTCAGCCACCCTGTTCTCTTCCCTGACATTTGTAGGAGTCCTTCAGGAATACCCTTCTGTGCCTTTATGGCCCACGTACCACACTCCTCCTAGCACTTGGCCAAGGCCACAGCCCGTTAAAGGCCAGTTAAAGGCCAGTTGAAGGGCATTTGGCCTCTGTTCATCCAATGCATGCACTGCCCTGGCTCACTCGCAGGTGCTAACTCTAACCACTCGATGGCCAGGCTGCAGGAAATAGCCTGTGCTGCATTTCCGTGAGCGAAACACTCCAAACTGCAGAAGGGGTCTGGGCTCACCCTTTCTACCTGTTTCTGCTACATGGAGAGGGCAGACAACGTATGCTCCAGCTCTCCTGCATGCTGCTAAGAAGCCTGCAGGCAGCTGGCAAGACCCTCAGATTCTTCTACAATAAGAGAGGTGGAGATGCAGCCAATGAACTTCCCCTGAAGGCTGCCAAGGTGAAGGATGAAGGGGTGCCCAAAGGCCCACCTGCTGTCTGCCTGGCTGCCTCCTGAGTGTGGGCCAGGGCTGTCTGTTATTCTGCCTTCTCACACACCAGGATGCCTATGGTTTGAATGTGAACCTTTGGGAGAACAATGAAACGAGTGCTCAAAGAGAGGGAAAGAAATGTTCCAGGGCACACAAAAGGTACACGTGGTCCACTCACCTGCAGTGGTTCCCTGAGCACCCTGTGTTCCTTCACCAACTTTTTCTGACATTCCTTCTCCTCTAGGAAGAGGGAAGAAGTATCTGTTACTGAGAGGAGGCCACAAAGAGACCCGATAATCAGGGATGCTGTGGGGTGGAGGGGTGGTGGAGCAGGAGCCTTCTCCAGGGCAGAGGAGAGGGATATGGCAAGTCTGGGGCCCCTGCATCCAAGTCCTTCAACCTATCAGCCAGGCAACAAGCAAATAGAGAAGTCATTACTTTTCCCAGCTGATCCAGAGTTTCTTACTGTTGTTGTTTCTGTGGAAAGAGATAAAGGAAGGTGACCGAGGATGGCTCCTTCACTGCACCCTCAGGCCAAAAAGGGTTGGGCAGGGAGCAAGGGATTTTTGAGGTTTTCACTATAGGGCGCGTGCGCTCACCAGACAGACAGAGAGAGACAGAGAGACAGAAAGCAAGAAATCACCCCCCAGGGGGGATGGTCACGCCGCAATCCCTTCTCCATTCTCCTCTCGGGATCTTGGGCACGCATGCACACGCGCCCGGCGTGAGTTTTAAGCCACTGGGTCTGAGACGCGAACCTCAGTCGACTATGTGGGAGTCCAGCGACACAGCCATTACGCCAACTGCTGGTTCCCAGGGATTTTTTTTTAAAAATTTCTTCCATGAGAGTGTGAGAAATAGGCACTCCCAACAGAGTCTGTTATGCCACAATCTCCCCAGCCTTTCAGCCAGCTAGGATCACTGGGACGTGGGTGTGCACATGACTTGGGACCCAAACTGCAGTCCTCCATGTGACTTCAGTACTGCCACATGGCATGCCCTGATGCCTGTGCCACTGTGGCAGGGTACAAACCAATTTTAAAAGAAGAGTTCTCAGACCCTATGGGGCCATGAACTGACAATTTCTCCTCAAACTCTTTTCACTGGTTTTCACTCAGAGGATAGAACCAAAAGCCTGAATCTGGATTCTCTTTAAGAAACAGTGACGGGAACCAGCAGTTAGCATAATGGCTATGTCGCTGGACTCCCATGTAGTCGACCGCGGTTCGTGTCCCGGACCTGGTGGCTTAAAACTCACGCCGGGCGTGTGTGCGTGCGTGCCCAAGATCCTGAGAGGAGAATGGAGGAGAAGGGATTGCAGCGTGACCCCTGGGGGCTGATTTCTTGCTTTCTGTCTCTATGTCTCTCTCTGTCTGTCTGGCGAGTGCACACGCCCTACAGTGAAAATCTCTCAAAAAGAAAAAAAAAAAGAAAAAAAACCCAAAGAAACAGTGACATAATTTTCTAGAAATGGAGTTTAAGAGAACTACCCTCTGCCCACTTGTGATTTAGAACGGTGCGTTCATCTTCAACCAATAGTTCCTGAGCCCATGTTATAGGCTCGGTCCTGGTCTTAAGAGACAATCTCCCTCTGCCTGACACATTCTAGTGAGTTTTTTCAATCTTTGATGCTTAAAGCTAAGAGCAACCTTTGACCTCCCAGGAGTCTGAAGCCCAGGGAGGGATGCTGGCTTGTCAGAAATCAAAGACAGAGTAGGTCAGGGACTGTACTCTTGCCAGGTGACAGGCCAGTGCTTCCTCTAGGGGCAGTGACGCCAGGGCAAGTGTGGCAAGGACTCAGGCGGGGGTGTCTGCAGAAGAGAGCAAGTCAAGAGGGCAGCATCAGAAAGAGCCATGCTGCATGCTCAGGGGTCCCTCCAGCTAAGGCCAACCCATTCTCCCTTGGCACTGGGATTCCCGAGTGAAAACTGGAGCCAACCGTGGTTCATGTCCAAGACCTGGCAGCTTCAGACTTTGCCTGGTACATGTCTCTCTCTCTGTGTGTGTGTACCCAAAATCCCGAGAGAAGAATGGAACAGAATGGATTGCAACATGGCCATCCCCATGGAGAGTGATTTCTCACTTTCCCTCTCTTTGTCTCTGTCTCTCCAGTAAGTACATGCTTCCTATGGAAAAAAAAAAAAGAAAGAAACCTTAAAAAAAATTAAAATAGTAATTTAACACTCCCCGTCCTTACCCCCAGGGAAAAATTGGGTTTCAAGAATTAGATCAGGATATTAAAATTCCAGCTCTAAGTGATCTTAGGAGGAGAAGCTCTAAACCCTAGGTGCCAAGAAGGCAGCCACGCAGCTCAGAATGGAGGAATTGCAGAAGCTGGAGGAGTTTGAGCTGCTGTTAGAACAAGAGAGAGGGAAGGGACCAGCAGTTGACGTAATGGCTATGTTGCTGGACTCCCATATAGTCAACCGCGGTTTGAGTCCCAGACCCGGTGGCTTAAACTCACGCCGGGCACGTGTGCATGCGTGCCCAAGATCCCGAGAGGAGAATGGAGGAGAAGGGATTGAGGAGTGGCCATCTCCCCTGGGGGGGTGATTTCTTGTTTTCTGTCTGTCTCTCCCTCTTTCTGGCGAGTGCACG